GAGATGTTGGACAGGGCAAGATATGACAAAATAATAATTTATAAATTATCAAGGGCTCATGAGGGAGGAGGGAGCGGGGAGGGAGGGGAAAAAGTGAGCCGATGCCAGGGGCTTAAGGGGAGCAAATGTTTTGAGAATGATGAGGGCAATGAATGTATAAATGTGCTTAACATAATTGATGTATGTATGGATTGTGATGAGTTGTATGAGCCCCTAACAAAATGATTAACAACAAAAAAAGGAGAAATGCTAAACAGAATTTAAAATTCTAATGAACTCTAAGCTTTCTGGAGCCATAGAGGCTGGATTAATCCCTGAAACTATTGCCCTGAGTTCAACTTGAAACCTTAAGCCAGTGTTTCCCACGCGAGGAAAACCTACCCTTGGGGCACGAGAATGATCAGGGGGCTACTGCAAAAGCAAATATCTACACATTATCCTGAATTATGGGCTATTGTACAAATGTTTTTAATTGCCAAGGGGCCACTGAACTAGTAAAGAATGTCTGCCTTGAACACTGTGCCCTTTTGAAAATATGGAATTGACAACAGTGACTTGAAGGATGAGATAGAAAACGTACAGGGCTGGGAGCCAGTGTAAATAAGGAGGAAGAACTGGAAAAGAAGAGCTAGACTGGTTGCACAGCTCCAGAACGCAATTGTCAATGAATTGCACATGTCGAAACAGTTGATTTGCTCTATGTTCTGTGTGTATATTCTCAGCAACAAAAACACAACCACTATTAAAAACCTTTCATTAGAACAAACTGTACCAATCTATGTATCTTCCAAAGTCAGCCAGTAGTAAGTGTTCATCTCACATCCCCTCTCCTCCCCCAAGTCCTGGTGAGTGTCTCCGATAAGACTTTGCATCAGGATTTCCGGGCAGTGTCATAGACCACAGGGCACATTTTCAGACTTCCCTTTGCTTTGTGAGTTCAGCTGTGGGTCCACTCGATACTCATGGAAGCAGCAGTCAAGAGGTCAAACGAAGTATTGAATTGGGAAAATCTGCTGCACAAGATCGCTATCAAAAGTGTTGAAAAGCAAGGAGGTTACTTTGATGACTAAGCTGCACCTGACCCAAAGCCATGGTACTTTCAGTTGCCTCAAATGCAGGTAAAAGCTGGACATAGACAAAAGAAGACCGAGTCAATGCATTTGAACTGTGGTGAAGAATATTGAAAGTATCCTGGACTGTCACAAGAACAAACAAATCTGTCTTGGAAGAAGTTCAGCCAGAACGCTCTTTAGAGGCAAGCATGGCAAGACCAGGTCTCATGCACTTTGGACACTCTCTCAGGAGGGACCATCCCTGGAAATGGGCATCATGCTGGTAAAGAAGAGGGGCAGCGGAAAAAGAGGAAGTTCCCCGGACAAGAGGGACTGACACAGGGCTGCAGCCATGGGCTCAAATTCTGCTGTACACTGAGGGTCGCTGTGAGTTGGAACCGACTCAGTGACACCTACCAACAACAACAACATGGCTAAATGAATAGGATTCAATTACAAAAATTGTTCAACCAGTTCCAATGACAAGCGTGTGTTTATTTTGGAAGCTGATGAACCAGAGATAAACTTTGGAAAGATGGAGTCCAACAGCAGGCCAGCCTTCGAAATGTTCACTGCACACCTTGACTGAGGGACCAGAAGGGTAGGTGGGTCTAAAGATTGAATGAGAATGAAAACCTTCAAAACAGTAATAAGTGAGCAACAATAAAGCCAGATTTACTCACAGAAAACCAATTCTATGTTCCAAACAGCCTATTAGAAAAGTGAGTAATTGTCCTGAATAAGCGAAAGCCAATGAATATCAAACTGGTGGCCATGCAGTCAAGGTAGAGGGACGGAGGCAGTCGAGGTGTGTGGAGTCGCGGAGTTTTTTGGCTGTGACCTTTCGGCCTCCAGGTGGTACACCAAGGGGGCAGAGCAGAACTGCCCTGCTCCATTCCGCAGTGGCACTACTTTCACAATAACGCCAAGCTTATACATTTCTGCTGGTTCTGCTTGAGCATTGAAGGTTGATGTTGGACTAAGATTGGGTTTCTCCAGGAGAAAAAATGATCCTAACAGGCTTTACAACGTTTCGCCCATTTCCTTTGTTAGTTTTTTAATGCTATACAGCCACTCTGAGGAGAAAGACAAGGCTTTCTACTCCTATAAAGAGTTACAGTCTCGGAAACCTACCGGGGGCACTTCTACCCTGTCCTGTAGGGTCTCTGTGAGTGGACAATGACTCCATGGCAGTGAGGTAGGGTTTTTTGTTGTTGTTGTTTAATTGTGGTAAGCATTGGACTGCTAACCACAAAATTTGTAGGTACAAATCCACCAGCTGTTCCGAGGGGGAAATATAGGTTATCTGCTCCCATAAGGAAACTCTAGATAGTTACTGTGAGCCGGAATCTGCTTATAGGAAAGAATGATGCTCAATGGTAACTAAATTGACATCTTCCAAACTCGATTGTCCTTGAGTCAATTAGCACTCAGAGGGACCCTGTAGGACAGAGTAGAACTTCCTCATGAGGCTTCCAAGGATTTTATCTTTCGCAACTTGCCACAGGAGCAAGTGGTGGGTTGGAAACACCAACATCAGTTAGTAGCAGCTTTAATAACTCTGTCATTTTCCAAAGCCCAAATTCACCGCCATCAAATTGACTCTGATTCATAGGCCCCTTAAAGGACAGAGTCAAACTGCCTCCTATGCATTTCAGAGACTTTAACCCTTTACTGGGAGCAGACAGCCTCAGCTTTCTTCAGAGATGCTGCCGATGGGTTCAAGCCTCTGACCTTATGGTTAGCAACTCACTTTGGAGGCCACTTCAAAAAAAACCAAACTCACAGCCATCAAGTCGATGCTGATTCACAGGGACCCCATAGGGCAGGGTAGAACTGCCCCATGAGTTTCTGAGACCCTAACTGTTCACAGGAGTAGAAAGCCCTGTCTCCCCTCTCCCCCATCCCCCACTCCCAGCTGCTGGTGGCTTCAAACTGCTAACCTTGAGATCACAACTGGTAACCACGACACCAGGGCTCCTATTACACCACCTCAGAGCCTGGGAAGTACGGTGAGGAGAAACAGCGCCCTTACTCCAAGTCCAGGCCCCGTGTGGCTTCTAAGCCTCTCATCCGGCCCTCAAACGCTGGACACTTGGCTTCTATTTGGTTCAATACACACCCTCGTGATAATCACCCATCACACGAGGAAACCTGGGATTACTGTAAACCCCGTGTGTTCAGACACAAAATGTGGTTCTGTGCACCAACTTTCTTTGTCCAGTTTGTGCCTTTAACCCACACGGATCCACGCCGTCTGTTTGGAATCCAGTGGCCTGTAGTCATTGGAATTGTTTAGAACTGGGGCGCAGATGTGGTCAGGGAGCCAGCCCAGGGACTCTGGGAACGCAGACCCTCACTGAGCCCAAGCCTGCCTGGCTTCTGAGCCCTCGCTTAGAACGCTGCCCGACTGCTCTGGAGGCAGTAAGGACGCGGCCACCAGAGGAGAGCCCACGGAAATCCGGGGGCGACTAAAGCCCGGTACCTGCGGATTAAGGGCACGGCTCGGGCGGGTTTCTAAAGGCGGCCAGGTGGTCGGTGTGCTGGGGATGGACAATGAGACCAGGGCAGGAAAACGGTCCTTCCCGAGCACTCGTCAGAAGGACGATTTCTCCTCCTTCGCCGGGAGGGTTGGGGCGCCCGCTGGGGCCGGGCCGCGGGACGAGGGCTGGCAAAGGGGTCGCTCGAAGTTGGGCTCGTCCCTGCCCTCCCGGGGGAGAAGGGCAAGGGGGGCAGGACGTGACAAAGCCCCCCGGAGACCCGAATGCTGTTCGCGTTCTCTTACCGACGGCCCGACGGCGGGCGGGGTCAGGGCGCCGCTGCTCTTGTCCTCTTCTTTTTCCCGGACTGGTTTCTTGTCCCCCTCGGGCTCGGCCACGTCCCCTTTCCTCTCCGGCTCCTTCGGGGTCTCGTCCCGCCCCTTCCTCTTCTCCTCCTTCCCTTTCCAGCCCTCCTTCACCTTCTCCTCCGAGCCCTTCCGCTTCACGCGCTCCTCCTTTCGCCTGTCGCGCGCGGGCTCCTTGCCCTTCTCCAGGCTCCGCCTGGCCTTCGCCGGCTCCATCCCCTGCGCCTCGGCTTGCCGTCCGCGCGCCCGCGCGCAGATGCCCCCGCAGGTGTGGCCCCCGCAGGTGTGGTCCCCGCGGCGGGCCCCGGGCGGAGACGTAGGTCCACGCGGCGTAGACGACACCCGCGGTCAGCCCCGGGGCGCGCAGGCTGCCGCCCGGCATGGCACGTCCCTCGGGAGAGGCTGAGCCCGTCCCGGGGACAGCTGTCGAGCGCCAGGACGCTCTCCGTGCGGACCGGGTCCGCGAGCACCTTTACCTCCCCAGCTTCAGACCCGGGCCGCCCGGCCGGCCCACCTGCTTCCAACGCGACCGCCGCCTGCCTGCCGTGCCAGTGCTGATGGCAGGGACAAATCCCCGCCTTCTCCCAAGTCCCAGTCACTAGCTCCGCAAGCGACCTGGTGCATCTTCCCGTCCATCCAGCGTTCACGCCTCTCGGGGAGGTGCCATTGAGCCTGTTCCCCATAGCGACCGTGCACAGTAAAAGGAAACGCGGCCCCGTCGCGAGCCATCCTCACGGCTGTTGTGTGAGCCCATAGTCACAGCCACGGTCACTCCATTCCCTTGAAGGTGGCTGCTTGCTGTTAGGTGCCCACTCAACAGCACCCTCTGCCCAATGGGGCACTGGCCTGGCTCACATCCTCACAGTTGTTATGCTCGGAGCGGCTACCCACAATTAAGAACTCCAGGAGCATCACCTGATAAAAACAAAACAAAACCAGCACACACACCCCACCAGAGATTAAATTAGTTGTCTACCAGAATCCTGGCTGTAAGTAATAACTAGTATTAAACGAACAACTAAGCAGAATAGTTTGCACCAAGTAGGGCTTCATCAAACATTCTTAAAATGAGGGTATGAATTTCTTTTTAAAATGAGGGTATAAATGGGTCTTTCATTATATTGAACTCTTTGCATATTTCAAACTCAACAAAATAACATTAATACAATAAACTGATTTCCCTTCATCAAATCTACATTTGAAACAGACTTGCAAGAACTAGTGAGTGAATAGCAGGTTCCAGAAGAGTTGAGTGCAGTTTTATTCCAAAGTCTTGAAAACGCTGTCCTTAGTAACTGAAATGATGTTCATTACTCAATTTGTTTATATACATACTAACGATGAATTTTCCATGAGGTCTAAACTGGGTTCTCTCAACTCCCATAGAATAGCTCTGTGATGCTGCTTGGGAGGGGCAGGAGGGAATCTAAACCCAGTTTAAAAGAAAACTCTTAGGATGTACCAACCAGCAAGTCCTCTGTAAAATGCCAACACCCAAAAACACTTTAATTCGTATTCATCACTAAGATATTTTATTTTTAAATGTGCCACGGTGAGTGGATGTATCATTGGTTTTTATAAATGTACATATATATATAATTACACACACATGTAAGGTATATATGCCACTGGCTAAAGATCTGCCCAAGAGCAGAGTGAATGGGAATGTTTCTCCTTTTGACAATTTCGATGAATGTGTTTGAATTCAGGTTTCGGTTGTTTTGTGATGCCCGGCAATAACCATGACAAGAGAACCATACATTTCCCTACTGTGCCTTGGACTTAACATTTTCATAACAGAACATTTCCCCTGACATTCTGTAGTAGTTAACCGCAAAATGAATATTCTTCAACACAGACATGGAATGAATCCCATAACAATTTATTAACATTTAGTCCTATAATGGGAAATGTTTTCAGAAAGAATATCTGACATTCTTAGCAAAAGATCTTCTGTAGAGTTCAAAAAGTATTATACCATAATAAATCATTCCTATTTCAAGAGAATTTCTTTAGAGGCCTCCACCAATTGTGATTATGCAAAACAAAAATGGCAGCACCACGTTTCTTAACCCTCTTCTTTCCCTAAAGTTTGACAAAGAAAGCCTTAACATAAACTCTCTGAAGAAGTTTCGGTAGGTATGTTCAGAGGCAAGCACAGCAGCACTTTATTAATAAGGACAGTAACATCACAAGGCGATACGAGTGCCTTAGGCAGCACAAAATGAACACAAGGGTGGGCAGCCCAACATGCCCGTCTTACAGCAGTTCAATGAGAGTGGCTTGTAAGCAAAAAGACGAGCACAACATTTACACTGTAAAATAACTAAGAATACCTCATTACTTTGAGAAGGCTCATGAATGGTCATACCCAGAACTGGAAAGATAGGCCATTTACTATTAATTGGGCCATACAGTCAGTTAGGTCTTAATATTGCCTGGCACCAAACTCTGGCACTGATTTCCGCTCGCTTAGGAAGTCCGTGTTCATGCTCTTGACAGGGTCATTAATGTTTCTGAGACAGTGCAAACCAATTTGACTTCAGAGCCTTTAGAGTCCACTTCTTGTAACATTAGTATCCTTTGAGTTCTTTAATATGCTAAATCAGCATGTTACCAAAATCTGAAGATAATGTGAATGTGCAAAGGGGCCCCAATTAAAACGAAGGGGCTTCAAATACTTTGTGGGAAAATTCCATTATCTTTTCATTCCATTTTCCCACAAACTTTTTGCTGCGCCCCTGTACATAAAAGTTCAATGAAAAATAACCCAAAATTCAGTATCCCAAGACAAAATCTTCAAGACTTGACTTTGGTTTTCCTGTGGTAACCCATTTAATGAAGTGAAAACACCAGTGTATATTAATCAGGTCCCTTTTATACCATGGTATTCCTAAGCAGACAATTGGAAGGCTCAGAAGATTCCATTTTAAGCTTCCCAAGATACAATGTGAGATTTGAAGAGGAACAAGTATTTTCATCAGATTCTAGTTGACAAACTAAAACCTGGAAAAACCTTCTATAACATGCCTTGTTTGTTGAGCTGAAGAAAGACCAGATCAGCATACAGAGTTAAAGGAAACAGCAGATCTCAAGGTGGATAAACACCACTTATTCTGTGTCCTCATTCTCTGTGCAAAGCTAGATGGTACAAGAGGGGCAAGTGACTAGGCATCAAATTGGATGAGGATGTTTTCCTATTCCTATTTGATGCACAAGAAAAGAACGTAACGAAAATGTAGGATGAAGGAGGGCGCAGTTCTGTGCTTCTTGCTGTGTCACTGTATGTCCCTAGTGCCAATGAGACGCGTTTAAAAATAGCCTGCAACAAGAACGTTCTTCTCATCACCAGCCACCTTTGCCCCCCTTCTTCTTTTTCTGTTGCTGTTTCTTTTTTGTTGCTGGAGCCCCTGCAGGCTTCTGATGTCTCGGGGGTATGATGTTACTTGTAGAGGCAGATACTGTTGCCCCACTGCCAGGTCTTGGGGAGGTGGGAGGGCTGCTCACAGTTTTACTGGCATCCCTGGAATCATGAGAACAGGAAAGTTTTGGTCATTCATAAAGCCAACAAAACAGGTATGAAACATATGTACATGTCATTTGCTTTCCTCCTCCAACCATCTCCCGTACATCTTTTATTCCTTTTAAAGTGGGTTCCCAAATCCCTTTTCCATTTTTACTTTGAATAAAGTAGAAGCATTCGTATGGCACAATTTCTAGGAAGCTTGAAAAACAAGAAAAACATTCGATGCCCTATAACCCTACTACGTGGAAACAATTCAGGCGCATTTTAAATCCTTTCAGACACTGTATACGAGGGGGTTTTAAACCTCTGTGGAACAATGGAATGAGGTTTTTTTTAAAGCCCCCTTGTATCTGTGTGTACCTACTAAATAGTTGAATGTGATCTCAGTACATCGTTTCCTTCTGAAGTTTCCTGAAATCCCAAACTGAATTTATAACACAATGAAACAAGAAATACCATTTTCTCTCCTTAACATTATGAAGTACTTGGCAAAGACAGCTGACTGCACATTTCATACTTAGTAAAGATAGTGGGGGCTTCAAGAAGTTTCTGGAAAAAATGGAACTGAAAGAGAGTGGACATCTTCCTACAAACTTTTTGAAGCTCCTCTGTACTAATAATTCCAGCTAGTAATCACTGTCTATCTCAGGAATGGCCACAATCGTTTCTAAGTGATGTCACTGGTTCAGAATGACTTACAGTTCAGACGAAGATCCTACAGTTGCTCCCTGGGTCCCTTTCCCAATCTGATCCTTCTTTTTACCCTTCTTCCTTCCTCTGTAGTAAGAACGTTCTCGCATTGGTAACCATCTTTCTGGATCTGGGGTAACTTTTGGATCATAGTTCTTAGGTAGTTTTCCTGTGTAAACAATTGACATGAGAATTCTGTCATACATAATGTGCCCAGGCTGAGGAACAAATAAAGTTAAAACTGAAATAAATAAATTGGAAAGGTTTTTTTTCCCTGTACAATGTTGCAAGACACGATTTTCAAAAGTCATAATGGAAAAGATCTGCTTTTCACACTCGGTAAAAGACAACAAACTTACAGAAAAAGCAAACTGGAAACAAGAATAACAAGCCAAAAAAACTTTTCATGTAATTTAACAGATTGGATTAATAAATATCCTTAATACAGGTAGTTTTTTTGAATCAATGGGTAAATTATTGAGGTAAAGGAGGGGCAGTTATAATTTGGTTAAGCTAAAAAAAATTAAAAGTCATCAAGTGAAAAGTTTGACTTCACAAATTAAAATTAAGTAGAGGGGAAAATTAAAATTCTATCAGACTAACAAATATCAAAAGTTAATAACCAGTGTTGATGAAATAATGGAACACTATCTGGCAGAAGTATAAACCAGTACAGCCTTAATATGGCAGCACAAATCAAAATTTATAGCTTTCTAGAAATTTACCCTGCAGAAAACAGGTAAGCCACAAAAATTAAATATGTAAAGATATTCTCTAATGTTTGTCCAAATAATAAAAGATAAAATAAAAACAATTTTAATATTTATAAATAAGACACAAAATAAATTATAGCATACCTATAGAACTAAACGCATATTTATACGTATTAATTTGGAAAAATGCTCTTCACAAGTCTCAAGTAGAGAATTATGATAAATTATCCTAGTTTGTTCACTTTAAAAAATCCCGACTACGAATGTAAGTATATACTTATATATATATGTTTCTGTATATAAAAAGGTAAATACTTATCTCTGGGAGAGTTTGGAATAGGGAATTTTCTACTCTATACCATTATGTCATGATAGTAAACGTTAACTATGCTGCTGTTGTTAGGTGCCATGACTCGGCTCCACCTTATGCACAACAGAACTAAACACGGCAGGGTCCAGCGCAATCCTTACCAATACTCCCATGCGTGAGCCCATTATAGCAACCATAGTGTCAATCCATCTCCGTGAGGGCCCTCTACGCTACCTAACATGGTGTCAATCCATTCTCCTTGAATGCCCCTCTACGCTACCGAACATGATGTCCTTTCTCCAGGGACTGGTCTCTCCGGCCAACATGTACAAGCATGTAAGACGAAGTCTTGCCATCCTTGCCTCTAAGGAGCATACTGGCTTACTTCTTCCAAGACAGATTGGTTTCTCCTTCTAGCAGTCCATGGCACTTTCAATATTCTTCTCCAGCACCAAAATTCAAATGCATCAATTCTTTGGGCTTTCTTATTCAATGTCTAACTTTCACATGCATATGAAGCAATGCAAAATACCATGGTTTGGGTCAGGCACACCCTAGTCCTCAAAGTAACATCCTTGCTTTTCAATATTCTAAAGAGGTCTTGTGCAGCAGATTTACCTAATGCAACAGCTTTTGATCTCACTGCTGCTTCCATGAGCACTGATTATGGATCCAATCAAGACAAAATCCTTGACAATTTCAACCTTTTCTGTACTTATCATGATGTTACCTATTGGTACAGTTGTGAGGATTTTGGTCTTCTTTACACTGAGTTGTAATCCATATTGAAGGCTGCAATCGATCTTCATCAGCAAATGTTACACGTCCACGTCTCCTCACTTTCAGCAAGGACAGTTCTGGCATCTGCATATTCTAAGCTGCTAAAACACTTCCTCCCATCCTGATGCCATTCTTTTTCATATAAGCCAACTTCTCTGATTATTTGCTCAGCATATAGGTTGACCAACTATGGTGTGAGGATACAACCCTGATACACACTTTTCCTGATTCTAAACCATGTAGTAGTCACTTGTTCTCTTCCCACAACTGCCTCTTGATCCATGTAAAAGTTCCTCATGAGCACCATGAAGTGCTCTAGAATTCTCATTCTTCTACAGATTATCCATAGTTATGATCTACACAGTCAAATGCTTAAGTATAGTCAATAAAACATTAGTAAACCTCTCTAGTATTCTCTACTTTGAGCCAAGATCCATCTAACATCAGCAATGTTATCTCTTATTCCACTCTCTTCTGACTCTGGCCTGAAACGACTCCTTGTCAATGTACTGCTCAAACTGTGCTGGATCATCTTAAGCTAACCTTTACTGGTATATGTGCTATCAGTGATATTGTTCTATAATGTTAGCTATAGTGAAGACAAAAGTCAGTGTTCATAGATGTAGTGTTGACAGAATACAAGACGACTTCAAAAAGTTCATGAAAAAATGGAATTAAAAGATTAAGAAAATTTCCCATGAACTTTTTGGAGCACCCTTATCTCTATGTCTCAAGATACCTCTACAGCAGTGTTCCCCACAGTGGGCTCTACTGCTGGAAGAAGGGAGGCTGCAAAAGCAGTTCCCAATGCTGACTCTCCTGGACTGTGAGACACAGTACAAAAGTTTGTCATTGCCAGGGGAGCACTGAGTAAAAAAAAAAATTTTTTTTTTTTTTTCTGATAAGGAGGCAGTAGGCCAAATAAGTTTGGGAACCTATGATCCATACGGCGAAACTCAAGCTTTTATCACGTAGAAAAGAATTCAAAGATTAAAAAAAAAATCCTTACCCTTCTTTTTCTTCTTCTTCTTTTTCAAATCACCTTGGCTATTAAGAGAAGAACAGTCATTACTGTCATGATAAAATATTTATAGAGGGTTACATGTATGCTAAGCGGAGCCCTGGTGGCATAATGGTTACACCCTGGGCTGCTACTCACAAGGTCAGCCCTTCAAACCACCAGCTTCCAAGTGAGAAAAACTAAGGTTCCTATTCCCATAAAGATTACAGTGTCAGAAATGCACAGGGCCAGGAATCAACTGGAAGGGCCTGCATTAAGTATATGCTGAAGACTAAGCAGGGGGCATTTTATCATGAAGACTTTCCAGACACAGTGTCTACTCTTCAAAAACGAATCAACTCGTTAGATATTCATTCAGATGTAATTAATCCGCTTCAGAAACTATTGTTTTTGAAAGGTAGTTTAAAATAGAGAGGTACCTAACCACTACTTAAAACAATATAAACAACAATTTTATACTGAAAGTGATTTGCATGTGGCACACATGTAATTCTATCCAGACAGCTAATAAATTATCCTATGTTGGACAAGACCTAAGAGAACAGATCATTAAACTCTGTCCCAAGAGAACATCTACAGGCAGAAACCCACTGACACGAGTTGAGTCCAACACATAGCAGCCCTACAGGACGGAGTAGAATTGCTTCCTTAGGTTTCTGAGGTGGAACACCTTTATGGGAGCGGAATGCCTCATCTTCCCGGGAGCCAGAGAGCGGTTTGTGGGTTTGAAGTGCTAACCTTGAGATTAGCAACCTGATGCATACCCAACTATGCAACCAAGACACATGCTAAGGATAGAATAATCATACCAGACTTACTTTTAAAACTTTAATAAATTCACAAGATTCAGAAATGTTTAAATAACTAAAGAGGACAAACTCTCCCCCACCATTGCCTGGTCACCTGTTACTTGTCTTGTATGTACACGTCTCTGGTAAAAGACAAACGCAAACAAACAAAAACCCCCAAACTCACTACACCGAGTTGAGCAGACTCATAGTGGTGCTATAGGAACTGTTTCCGAGACTGTAACTCCACGGGAACAGAAAGTCCTGTCTTTCTCTCTTGGAGACGCTGATGATTGTGAATTGTTAGCATTGCAGGGAGCAGCCCAACCCTTAACTACTGCCCCACCACGGCCTCTGGTAGTGCCAATGCATGCAAGACACGAAACAGGTGGCTGGTGTACCGTGGGGAAGACTTTTCATTTACTCTGTACTCTTTATTTAAAACTTTTTGAATCTTATGAATTTTTTAACTTTTAAAAAGTAAATCCTCTAGTAAGTACATTGACAAAGAAAACAAGGTAACAAAATAAGCATTCAGAAATCAAGAAAACCCTTCAAAATAGCTGATATGCACTCTGACAGCTACAGTGAAACTGTAACAGTGAGTAGGTCGACAGAAAGTTACATCTCCTTATGGTCAAGGGTGCTAGGAGTACCATGAAACTGAACTAAGAAGTAGAGACAGCAAAACATTTTGCCAAGAATTAATTCTACCAAGTTACTCAATTTTGAAAGTTCTTTCAGGGCACGAAAGAGCTTCAGAGTCTCATTTCCTACCTAGATGATGTAACAGTCTTTTAAACTGGTCTCCTTTCAAATTTTATTACAGTTATTCTTGAAATTTCCCCAAAGTTCCCCTCTCTTTTGTATTTCTGTGCCTTAACTCACATATTAACTGATTTTCATCTTCCTCAGAATCAACAAAATTGCCTCCCCCATGAAGCCTTCCCTGAGCTCCCTCCTATTCTCCCCAGGAAAAATCATTCCCTCTAGTGTGACTATACTTGGCAAAATCATACAATGCACACAAACTTTATTGCAATAACCATTTAAATACCTGTCTCCTGCTAACCTTAAGTTCTTCTGAGGGCCATGATGTATGGGAGTGGCTTTTTTAATTGGTCCTGAGGGATTTATCTGTCCTGAATTCCATGTGTTGAGAGGTCTTATCTGGACCAGTGTACATGCTCTCGGCTAGCTGGATTTGTAAGGTCGAACTGGGCTCATGATAGTGGGTGGGGGCGGGGTGGGGGGAAGCAGGGCATTAAAGAACTAGAGGAATGATGTGTTTCTTCGTTGCTATACTATAACCTGACTGGCTCATCCCTTCCTTATGACCCTTATGTCTGTTTACAGATGGACTCTGAGTCTCCATTCAGACCCCCCTCATTCATATTGAAATGGTTGTAGCTTTTTTTAATATTAAAAAAAAGGGAGGGCCATCTAGCAGAGAAGCAACAAGCCCACATGGAAGCACACCAGGTTATACGATCATGAGGTGTCAATGGGATCAGGTAACAGACATCAAAAGACTCAAAACAAACAAACAAAAATATTATTGAGAATGAGAGGGGCCGGAGCAGAGACCCAAAACCAGTATGTAGACAATATGACATTCCCTCACAGAAGGGATGAGTCAACCAAGGCGCAGTATAGTTCCGATGAAACACACACTATTCCTCTGGTTCCTTCTGGCTTACACACACACACACACACACACACACACAC